CTCCTTGCTAGTAATTGATCTGTTTGGAATTTCTTTATCAGTTAAATTTGATACCTAAATGGGACTTAAATGATAATGGATATATGTTTTATTTATAGATAAACAGATACAGATAATAAAAATAAGTATTACCTAATGCTGTAAAGAAAGGAAGTGATATTCCTGGTAATTGTAGGTTTAAAACTATTTTACTTTTTATTTTTTTACCAATAGAGAATAATAATTCCATCTCTCTTATTATATAGATAATTGAAAAGGATAAATTCTTTCTTTGAAAAGGAAACGGTTTTGAGACTTCTCAAGTTCAAGATGTTCTCAAAGGGCATCTGACTGCTAAGGGTCTCATTCTCCTCACTCTGCACGGATGATGCCCTAAACATACTCTTCCTGTCCAGATCATCAATAGAGGCAAGTCAGGGATTGGCAATGATGTCACCCACCAGGAGGAGCCACTAAAACCACGTCCTTTGTTAGCCATTATAAACCCAGTAGGAAGAACAGATTCAAAGAATGCCCTCCATTAGAAGAAGGAGGTGGGTTACAGATGGGTGGTTGGCAACACTTCTGCCCTTTTTTTTTTTTTTTTTTTTTTTTGGTGAGAATATATATATATATATATATATATATATATATTTTAATTTAGACATCATTGTTCATTTTTAAACAACATTTGCTCCCCCCTTTCAGGTGTAGTCCCCATAGAATTTCCTTCACCAATTATGCTCAGTGAAATAAGCCAGAAGGAAAAAAAAAATATAGGATGGTTTCACTTATAGCAGGGATATAGGGGAACCAAATAAGACATCAGTGTAAGAAAAATAACAGCAGTACAAAACCCAAAAAAGAAACATACAACTATTAATCAGAGACATCCTGCAGGGAAGGAGGAAGGACAGGGAGCAGAGGGAAGGAGGGAGGAGCACATGGGACTGGGGTGAGGGTGCACTTGCTTTTTTAACAGCTGTACTAATCGGCCTTTGTCCTGGTTTTACATTCCCAGTGTTAAAAGTGCACAATTCATTTACTTCACAATTTGTTTTAAAGCACTTGCATTGTGGCAAACACTCTTCCTGGCTTTTAGCATAAAACAATGAAGAAAGTGAACAGCAGTCTCTGCCCCTGGGCTGAGGAAGAAACACTCAAGGCAGATACTCAAATGCACATGTTAGGAAGTGGTACCTGTCCAGGAGAAACCTGCCAATCACCGTGGAACCCAGCAAGGTCGTGTGAGCCCTCAGCACCACACAGGGAGCTGCATGCTTGTGCATAGGCTTATGGGAAGGGGGCTGCAATGTGTAAGGGACTGAGAAACGTGTGTTGTATGTATGTGTGTTAACATGCAGTGACTTGCAATTTGAAAAAGTGGGTAAAAAGAAGTACACTACTATGACATTATCAATCATGGTTATTCTCTTTTCTAAAAAAAAACTTAGCATCAACATCAATTTTGGGGTATTTAAAAGAAACTGATTTTAAATTAAAATTCAAATGGCACTTAATTATCTTAACAGTTTTTTAGATTTGAAGTTTCACCGTAAGGATTTTAGCTTTTCCTAAGCAGAAAAACCATAAAGTGAACTGACATTCTAGGGGGATTTCAAAAGAAAAAGCCCATATCTCATTTCACTGTAACAAAGGTCATCACTCACTGGGGACTCCAGCCACACCCTCCAGATCTTCAGCACAAGCTGGCTGTGCTGAAGCAAAATCCCAAATGCAGGAACCATTCATTACTCTGAGAGCAACCTTTTTGAAAGGCAGAGGAGGAAAAGGAGTTCCATAATGTGACACAACCAAATGCAACCAAAGGGAAATTGTTCCTCAAACTCAAAGTCTGTCCCCTATGTATTTATGGAGAATCAGTTTATCAGACACTACAAACACATGGAGGCAGGCTTACTTCAGGGAAACACACAACTATATCAGCAACAGCAAAATAGAGCCAAGGACCGTGAGCCTATGCTTGGCATGAAAGCAGGTGATGGACAACGTTTTGTACAGCTTTGTCAAACACCCAGGGGTTTTCTTAAATCCAAATGATGCCACTTTTTTCCTCCTCTGTTGCAGTGTTGTTCCAATAAAACGATTCTCATCCACTCAAAGGTTTAGGTTGAGTAAATCCATGTGACTATCAAATCATCCAAATAATAGCTATCACCACTGAGATGTGTAAAATCATCAAGATAAGGCTTTTAAAAGACAGTGAATGGAAAGAAATTTAATATATTTCTATTTTTTCTCTCTCCAAGAGGACAACAACAACAACAATAAAAACAACTATAATTGAGATGTTAAACTGATGCACAATTCATCCATAAAATCCTAAAGCCAACTAAATCTTGAGCAAAGAATCAACTGCAGGCCATGATGAAGCTGTGAAGATTTATTTTTTGTCATTTATTGAAGAAACAGATATTTGCATGAATGCAAGACGTTCTTAGTAAGTACGCACAATTTTTAAAGAGATGTTACCAATAGCGGTGACAGCCATTCTCTCTCTTTCTCTCTCATAGGATGGAGAGAGATGGAGAGGGAGAGAGATTGCAAACTAGATTCCCGAATTTACTAATACGTCAAGGTTTTATTTTCTGTTTTTTTTCTTTTTACTGAATTATTTCTTCTTAAGACATATTTTATTCTCTGAGATGGGCTACCAGATAATGTTCCCTGTAAAAGTGCACCTACATCTTTCATCTTCTCTGATGGAAATTCTGTGTGAGCGAGTGCATAAGCTAGGAGCCCGACAGTCAATGAGGAGGTAAAATATTATGATTTTTTCTGATTGCTGAACAAGAGATACCATCCATTTCCTACATTATTTGTCCTGTTAAAGTGAAGGTCATATCACTTCTGGAACATAAAATAACTTTAAAAGCAGGGCCTCCCCTGGTGGCACAGCAGTTGAGTGCTGGGCTGCAAAGCTGCCCACAGCCTCTGCAGCACCGGTTTGTTCCTGGTATGAAACGGGCCAAAAAGAAAGGGGATAAAAAGGGCATTGGAGGGAAAGCAATTTGGATAACAGGTTTCTCTAACCCCTTCTGAAACACTTTGTTGCTTTAGTTCACTATGCCTAGCCACAGAAGCAAAGAATTTGACATATTTAACATCAGATAGGGTTTGAGAGATTTCTGTTCTACCCTCATTTGTCAAAGTGAAAAATGAAGGCCTTCAGTGTTCACATAAGGTCACATAAATGGAAGCATTAATTTCACAATCCTGATCTTATACGTAGTTTATTCTCCAACAGTCTGAAATTAACTTGAAAAATAACCCACAAATTTGAATTAAAGACTCTTGTGCAATGATTTCTCAACAACACAAGTGATCTCTCATTGCCACACTGGGTTTCTGCAAAAACAGAAACCAACTACTGGCTAGAACCCTTTCAGATTATATCCATGACCTATGTTTTTATACTAACTCACTTTAAAAAGCATCTATTTCCATTTTAGTGGAATTATTTATTCTCATCTTATACAGAAAGATAAGTATCAAGGTTTATTTTCCATAGCTTATCATAAATAATGTTTATCTTGCTAGAAAAATAAGACACATACCTTTGAAGTAGGGGAACGGAGAACAAGAAATCACTTTAAAGACTGTGGTGTGGTGGAAGAACCTCAATGAAATCAACACTGTACTTTGAGTTCATCTTCAAAAAACCTCTCGCAGAGCCTTCCTAGGCAGTGATCCACCCAATACATTGAGAAAAAGTTCCCTGCCATTTATTGGGTTGAATCACATGGAATGATTTTCATCTCGACTTCAGATTTAGCAATATGATATGCCATAACCTAAATGAGAGTCACATCTCAAGTAACAAAGAAGGTCACAAGGCTATGGAGTTCTTATTGAGATAATGCCAGTATAAACCTTTTAAACCGTCAAAACGAATGGTGATCATTCTATCTAGCCCTTTCTCTCTCCCTCCCACCCTCCTCCGCGCCCCCACACTCTATACTTTCCCTAACCCAGTGTTCCATGACTGCAATCCTTGTTGAACACAAATCCTTCACTCCGGTGCAGAGGACATTAAAGAAGAAAAAATATGAAAATATATTACCATACTTAAAAAATATATAAGACTTCAGAACATATTAGAGAATAAGATTTCAAATCCTTAAGTCTCTAAAAATCCGTAACTAGGAAGCGATTAAGAAAGCGACTTGAAATATAAGTGTATCAGGAGCGAAAACAGGAAATGTGGTGAGGATAAATTCACCCGGGGAACTGCTCCACAGCCCTGGACGAAATCAGGACGCTCTTCCTACACCGCGAGCTCCATGTCTCCGCCACACACTCAAGTCTAACTATTGTCAGTATCACTCCCCTCGCGCCAAGACAGAAAAAACAAGACTTCTTTATCTTCTGTGCTGCTGCAGAATGGAACCATTATTTGTAAAGGTGGCTCACAGCTTCAGCAAAACTATCTTAGAGCACAGGGAGTTCCTCAAGCAGCTCGAAGACCAAAGAGATCTCTCAGAGCTGACTCATGAAACACGACAGCAGCAGCGGGGCGGGCGTTGCAGCGCGGCCAGGACGGTGCCCTCCAGCGTCACGAGACTTCCCTGCACGCCACGTCACGTCGTTAGAGAAAGTCCAGCCTGAATCCCGAAGTGATAAAGTCCCGACTCCAGCTCTCAGGGCACGAGCGGCCTGAGATGAGCATCAGGACCCAGCGCGGGCCCGGCGCCCAGGCCTCGCGCGGCGGGCGGCAGCCGCGGGGCGCTCTCGCCACAACAGGGGGAGCAAGACCCGCCACTCGGGCCGGCGCGGGCCGGCGGGGGCTGCGGGCGCGGGGCGGGTGGGCAGGGCAGGGCGGGCAGCGAGGCCGCGGGAGCCGGGGCTGCCGGGCCGCGAGGCGGAGGGGCCCGCGGCGCACAAGCGGGGACCCGCGCGGCCACTCGGGGCGCGCCGTTGACGGTTCCCGGCCGGCCCGGGCGACGCTGCCAGGGCGGCCCCGTCCGCCGCCCCCGTCACGACCGCGGGGCCGCCTCACCTGGACTTGCCGACGCCGCTCTCGCCGATGATGAGGACCTTCAGGGCGGGCAGCAGGTCCTCGTCCATCCTGACGCTGCTCCGCTCCAGCCCAGCTGGCCGCCTGGTCCGCTCTCACCCCTTCACCCCGAGAACTGCCCGCGCATGCGCACCGCTCCGCGTGCCACCACCTTTTCACACCGGGTATGTCGGTCCCTGGAGTGGGCGATGCCCCAGTTCCGCCTGGAGGTTGCTCTGCGTCTGCGCCAGCCCAGAGTTCCAGAAGGCTTACCGGAGCGGTTAGTCCTCTCGCGCGCAAGCGCAGACCTAGAGGGCGGAAGTGTGTGACCTCACACGCCTGCACACTTCCTCCTTCCCGCCCTGGCCTCCTTTGGCCTTGGTTGTGCAGTTGGCGAAGGGAAGGGGCTGAGTCCGGGGAGTGTAATGCTTTTTTGGTTTAGTTGCTGCTCATAACAGCTGTACGGCGTTGGGAAGCACTGTGTGGAAAGGCAAATTACGGTAAAAGTAGGTCCCAACTCTACCACATGGCCAGCTAATTTATCTAGCCTTCTGAACCCGTTAGCTCAGCTCAGAAAGGGAGGCCATCATGTCTTAGAATAACACCAGCTTCTTGGATTGCTATGAAGAGTAAGTGAGAACATTTATGAACACACTTTGTAAATGCAAATAAACCATTTAAGTGTGACCAGGTATGAATTTCCTGATTGACCCTCCTTTAATGAAGAATTCCCTTCCTACATCTGTGCCTCTTGAAAGGGAATTGTAGACTCTACAGATCCGGTGCATAAAAACTTACGGTGGTGCAATTTCAAACTAGCTATTTCTGTTCTTAGAAACTACACAACTACAGGAATCGTTTATATGTGCTTTCTTTCCTTCACTAATTTGTAAATCTTATTGAAAGTCCCAAATCTCATATGGAAATGAAAGCTAATGAAATGCTTGGTACTTTGCAGACACTGAACTTTTCTTTCATGTTCTTACACTTGCAGATACAATAGATTTGATTACAGAAGGAGTAGGGGGAAAATTAAAGAATTTTTTTTTTTTTTTTAATCTGGGAAAGCACGTTTGCCACATATCCAATTGGTTCCTTCACTTCCTTCAGGTCTTTACTCAAATAATCCCTTCCTAAGGAGGCCTTCCTTTGTCCTGTGCACAGCCTTCCAGTTTTCCCTATACCTCTTCACATTATTTTTCTGCATAGCATTTGCCATCCTTACATATACATGATAAATAAATTGTACTTTATATTTATATATATATATATTTTACCAGTTTATTTGTTCACTGATTAATCTGCCCCAAAGCGAACAGAAAGAGCCCTGGTGTCTACTTCCTGGCATATAATGTAAATTTGTACTAAATGTTTGATGAGTGAACTGAGTGAACATTCTAGGCTCGTTCCCAACTTTGAAAAGTGATATCAACCAGACAACCTCTCATAAAATCATCTTTGAAATCTCAATTGGTCTATTCCAGTCTGCTCCTGGCTGTGGCATCAAGAATGTATTTCTGAGATTCTCAGTATAGTCAAGCTCTCCTGCCGTGGGGCAGGGATTCTAAAAGTGTAGTCCCCCAATCCTAGGAGACCATTTCTGGGGATCTGCAAGATCCAACTCTTAATAAATATTTAAGATGTTATTTAGTTTTTTTTCACTCTTATTTTTTTGTGATACCACAAAACTAAACGGGAGTTTTCCAAAGGCTACATAAACCATGATAGCAAAACAGAATGCTGGCAAAACCAGGTAGGGTAATTCAGCTTTTTTCTATTAAGCCAGAAATTAAAGAGATTTGGAAAAAAAACATACTTTAAAAAAATAATGTTACTCATCACTATTTTTTGTGTTAAAATAGTTAATTTCATAAACATTAACTAGTAATAACACTTGTTAATTTAAGTGAATGAACACATGTCTACAATTTCTCTGATTTTTTTATTTCTAGTAGAATAAATATTGATAGCTATAGCCATGTAATCAGCTTTGAGTGTTCAATGATTCGAAAAAGTAGACAATACATTATAGAACCAAAAAGTGTGAGAACTGACACACTGTACTATTCACATCAAAATATAAATGAAAAAAATGGAAGCTTCTCAATAATAGTCCTGGATGTTGATACTCCACCTGATGTTTGTTGACCTACTTCAGCAACATCATTTCCTCCTATCTCTTCACCACTTTTGGGTTTTTTGTGAAATCTTCTTGCTCATCTTTTAAATATTGTTGTACTTTGGGAGGGGCGGAGCAACATGGCGGCGAGGAGACACTGCGAGTAAGATCTCCCATTAAAAAAAGTGAATAGGGAGGAAAAGCGGCAGGTCCCAGTGAGAACCGGGACACGGAAGATAAACGGGTGACGCCAGCAAACTGCCCGAAGAAGAAAGTGGCCATAAAAGAGGACTAGAAGGGAGGGAAGCGCAGAACCCTGCTCCCCTCCCCCGCCCACAGAGGCGGCACTCTCCGCCCAGCAGAGAGGAGGAAAACAACAAACTAAAACTGCCAACAAGAACAAAGGACGCAGCAAGCGGGACTGGGAGTGGAAAGGAACTATTGCAGCCACCACACCCTGTGAACGGGAGCTGTGGAGAACCCCCGCAGGATCCGCCGCGGAGGTGAGCTCCGGGCGCCATTGAAGAGAGCCCCGCCCAGGAGGAGCCCAGCCCCAGCACACAGCCCCGGCCGCCCGGTAAGCCTGCTCGGAAAGCAGCGCGCCGGAAAAACAGACGCGGAGCGGGATTGCGCGGGGAAAGCGGCGTGGATTGCGCGGATCGGATCGCAGCTGCCCAGGTCCCCGCACCTGCGACCTAGGCTTGCGGGGAGACGCGCGGAGGCCCTCCCGGAGTGAGCAGGAACCAGGCGCCCAGGCACGGGAGCGGGATTCAAAAGGCGCCATTCCCGCGCCACTGATCTGGGCTACAGCCCGCGTCCTGGAACTGAGGGCTTTGGAACTGAGACCCGGGGCACGAAATTAGGGGCGTGGGTTCCCCACGACGGTGGGGCACAAGGCAGACACAGCACCCCAAAGCCGTTGAGGTGTACCCTACCATCCCTGCTCTGCTCCCTGTCCCACGGGGTGGAAAATCAGCTCCCCAAGGGCTCTAGGAGAGATCTCTGGCGCCACCTAGCGACTTGACCCCAGCACAGGCTCCTGAAGGAGCTAGTGGCCAGCTGGGGAGTTAGCCCACACCTGGCTCCTTCCGAACAAGTAGTCTGAGCCCACAGGGAGAGCGAGCACCCACAGCCGGGGCAGACCAAGCGCGCAGAAGAGTGTGCCTGAGACCGGACGCGCAGGGAGTGTGTCCCACATCACCATTATAGAATAGGGACATTTCTTCAGTAAAGACTACCTGCAGAAGGCTTCCTCAGGAGCCAGAGGTGAGCGGGGGAAGTTCGCCCACGCCAGACCCCCTCTGGCCTGCAGTCCAAGCCCAGAGGGGGAGCAGGAACCCAACGCCGGGGCAGACCAGGCGCACAGGGGAGTGTGTCCCCACATCGGCATTTTAGAACAGGGACCTTTCTCCAGTAAAGACTGCTTGAAACTGACAGATGACTCCTGGAGGAACCAGAGGGGAGCAGAGAAGCCCACCCAAGATGCCGGCCAGTCCCAACTACACAGTGTCCCAACGCATACGGCAAATTAGAAAACAGACAGTAGGGAGGAGAAGAACCACACGCAACCTAGCAACTCTCCAGAGAAAAAGCATACCACAAAAAGAAAACCAGCCCCCAGATGGCAACGACAGTAACTTGGAAGAACTTCTGAGCCTTCCAGAAAGAGAATTTAAAATTGCCGTGATTAAAAAACTGACAGAAGTCATAAAGGAAAACAATGATAAGGGAAAAATAATCAACGATCAGAAGAATGCAATTGAGTCCCTAAAGAGGGAAGTAAAAAAAATGCAGGAGATCAAAGAATTAATGGAAGAACTAAAGAATTCTGGGAAAAGCAATGAAAGCAGAATTGATGAAATGGAAGAACGAATAAGTACTCTTGAAGACACAGAAATAAAAAGAACCAAAACAGAAAAGGAAAGAGAAGTACGAAGGAAAAAGAATGAAGAAAGACTTCGGGAACTATCTGACTCCATGAGGAAAGGAAATATAAGAGTTATAGGAATACCAGAAGGAGAGGAGAGAGAAGTAGGAACAGAGAAAATATTCAAAGAGATAATTGAAGAGAACTTCCCAAATGTGAAGGAGGAGCTGAAAATTGATATACAAGAAGCAAGAAGAACACCAAACTTCCACGACGAAAGGAAAAATACAGCAAGACACATAATAGTAAAGCTCCCAAGAATCCAGGACAAGGAAAAAATAATGAAGCTGGCAAGAGGGAAGAAACAGATAACATTCAAAGGAAAGCCAATCAGGCTGACATCAGACTTCTCCGAAGAAACACTACGGGCAAGGAGAGAGTGGAGGGACATAGTCAACAGACTCCAAGAAAACAGATGCCAACCAAGAATACTCTATCCCGCAAAGCTCTCCTTCCTCTTTGAAGAAAGAATATGGACTTTCCCAGACAAACAGAAACTCCGGAATTTCATTGCAACTAAACCCCCACTCCAAAAAATACTACAAGGAGTCCTAAAGCCAGAACCTCAGAGGGACGAATAACAATGAAAGAAGGCCAAAAAAAAAAAAAGTTATTAAAAGAATAAATAAATAAAATCAAAGGAAAGACAAACACAATGGCAAATACAGATGTTAACATATCAATATTAACTCTAAATGTAAATGGACTAAACTCTTCAATAAAAAGACACAGAGTTGCAGCCTGGATTAAGAAACAAAACCCAACCTTTTGCTGTCTCCAGGAAACACATTTAGCTACAAAAGATAAAAATAGGCTCAAAGTTAAAGGATGGAAAACAATCCTACAAGCAAATGGACCAAAAAAGAAAGCAGGAACAGCTATACTTATATCAGATAAAACAGATTTCAAACTCAAAAAGATAAAAAGAGACCCCAATGGTCACTACATAATGATCAAGGGGACAATACTTCAAGAAGAAATAACACTCATTAACATATACTCACCAAACGAAGGAGCACCAAAATATATCAGACAACTGTTGTCCTCTCTGAAAACAGACATCAGAGAAAACACATACGTAGTGGGAGACATCAACACACCACTATCAACAATGGATAGATCAACAAGACAAAAAATAAGTAAAGAAACCAAAGCTCTAAATAAGGACCTAGAGCAATTGGGCTTAACAGACATCTATAGAACACTAAACCCCAAAAAAACGGAGTACACATTTTTCTCAAGCGCACACGGATCATTCTCCAGGATCGATCACATACTGGGGCACAAGACAAACATCAACAGATACACCAAGATTGAAATCATATCAACCATCTTTTCTGACCATGAAGGCATCAAACTAGAAATAAACCATAAAAAGAAGGCAAGGAACTTTCCTACCTCATGGAGATTAAAAACCACACTACTGGAAGACCACTGGACTAATGAGGAGATGAAAGAAGAAATTAAAAAATTTTTTGAATTGAACGACAAGGAGGACACCAATATCCTAAATGTATGGGATGCAGCAAAAGCAGTAATAAGAGGAAAATATATAGCAATAGAAGCTCACATCAAGAAACAAGAAAGAACTCAAAGAAACAACCTAATCTCGAAGCTCAAAGATCTAGAAAAAGAACAACAAAAAAACCCCAAAACCAGTAGAAGAAAAGAAATAATAAAAACCAAAGCAGAAATAAATGAAATTGAAACTAAAAAAAAAAATCCAAAAGATCAATGAAACCAAGAGCTGGTTCTTTGAAAAAATCAATAAAATAGACAAACCCCTAGCCAGGCTCACAAAGGAAAAAAGGGAGAAAGCACAAATAAACAGGATCATCAATGAAAGAGGAGAAATCACAACGGACACAGCAGAAATCAAAAGAATAATCAGTAACTACTATGAACAGTTATATGGAAACAAGTTTAACAATCTAGAGGAGATGGACAAATTCCTACAACTCTACAATCACCCAAAGCTAGATAAAGAAGAAATAGAACACCTAAACAGACCAATTACAATTAGCGAAATTGAAATGGTAATCAAAAACCTCCCCAAAAACAAAAGCCCAGGACCTGATGGATTTACAAATGAATTCTACCAAACATTCAGAGACGAATTAGTGCCTATCCTTCACAAACTCTTCCAAAAAATTGAGAAGGAAGGGACAATACCAAACACGTTCTATGAAGCCAACATTACACTAATACCAAAACCGAACAAGGACAACACAAAAAAGGAAAACTACAGGCCAATCTCCCTAATGAACACTGATGCAAAAATCCTCAATAAAATTTTAGCCATCAGAATCCAACAATGTATCCATAAGATAATTCACCACGACCAAGTAGGATTCATTCCAGGGACACAAGGATGGTTTAACATCCGAAAATCAATCAACGTTATCCAACACATCAACAAAAAGAAATATAAAAACCATATGATAATATCAATAGATGCTGAGAAAGCTTTCGACAAAGTGCAACACCCATTCATGATAAAAGCCCTTGAAATTCTTGGGATACAAGGAACATACCTTAACATCATAAAGGCCATCTATGACAAGCCAACAGCCAGTATCATTCTCAATGGTGAAAAGCTGAAAGCAATTCCATTAAGATCTGGAACAAGACAAGGATGTCCACTCTCACCACTGCTTTTCAATATAATACTGGAAGTCCTAGCCAGGGCAATAAGACAAGAGAAAGACATCCAAGGAATCCAAATAGGAAAAGAAGAAGTCAAACTATCACTATTTGCAGACGATATGATATTATACATAGAGAACCCCAAAAACTCCACAGAAAAGCTAATTCAACTCATCAATCAGTTCAGTAAAGTGGCAATATACAAAATCAACACGCAAATGTCAGAAGCCTTCCTATACACAAACAATAAATCTGAAGAAGAAGAAATCAAAAAAACCATCCCTTTCGTTATTGAAACAAAAAAAATCAAATACTTGGGAATAAATCTAACAAAAGAGGTAAAGGACCTATACAAAGAAAACTATAAAACACTGTTAAAAGAAATAGAAGAAGACACAAAGAAATGGAGAGATATCCCCTGCTCATGGATTGGAAGAATAAACATTATTAAAATGGCCATCCTTCCAAAAGCAATATACAGATTCAATGCTATTCCAATCAAAATTTCAATGTCATTCTTCAAAGAAATAGAACAATTATTGATGAAATTCATATGGAATCACAAAAAACCCCGAATAGCCAAAGCTCTCCTGAAAAAAAAAGAAGGGAATGGAGGCATCACACTCCCAGGCTTCAAACTATACTACAAAGCCATAATCATCAAAACTGCATGGTATTGGAACAAGAACAGACATACAGACCAATGGAATCGAATAGAAAATCCAGAAATAAACCCACAGATTTATGGTCAACTAATCTTTGACAAAGGAGCAAAGACTATGCATTGGAGCAAAGAAAGTTTGTTCAATAAATGGTGCTGGGAAAACTGGGTCGCTACATGCAAAAGAATGAAGCTTGACCACTACCTCACACCATACACAAAAATCAACTCAAAATGGATTAAAGAATTAGACATAAGACCTGAAACCGTAAAATATATAGAAGGAAATATAGGCGAAACACTACGTGATTTGCACATCAAAGACATCTTTACAGATGCATCACCCAAAGCAGTGATAGTGAAGGCGAAGATAAACAGCTGGGACTACATCAAATTAAAGAGCTTCTGCACAGCAAAAGAGACAATAACAAAAACAAAGAGAAACCCCACCAGCTGGGAGAACATTTTTGCACCCAACACTAATGATAAAGGACTGATCACAAAAATCTGCAAAGAGCTGATGAGACTCAACAACAACAAAGAAAATAATCCAGTCAAAAAATGGGCAGAAGAGCTAAAAAGAAACTTCTCTGAAGAGGAAATGCAAATGGCCAACAGGCATATGAAAAAATGTTCAACATCACTTGTCATCAGGGAAATGCAAATCAAAACTACCATGAGATACCATCTTACACCAGTGAGAATGGCACATATTAAAAAAACTAGCAACAACAAATGTTGGCGAGGGTGTGGAGAAAAAGGAACTCTTCTGCATTGTTGGTGGGAGTGCAAACTGGTCCAACCACTGTGGAAAGCTGTGTGGAGATTTCTGGACCTACTAAACATAGAGCTTCCATATGATTCAGCAATTCCACTCCTAGGTATTTACCCAAAGGACACAGAAACATCAATTCCAAAGAACACCTGCACCCCTATGTTTATAGCAGCACTGTTTACAATAGCTAAGCTTTGGAAACAACCCAAATGCCCAAAAATAGATGACTGGATCAAGAAGATGTGGTACATATATACCATGGAATATTACTCAGCATTCAAAAAAGATAAACACATGCAATTTGCAGCAACATGGATGGCGCTGGAAGGGATCATGCTCAGCGAAATAAGCCAAAAAGAAAAAGAAAAATACCGGATGGTCTCACTCATAGCAGGAATCTAGAAAACTTAAATAAGGGACCAGGAAAATGAATAACTATAAGAAAGTGAAAATCAAAATCAACAAAAAACTATGAACCAGAGACACTTTTAGGGGGCAGGGGCGGGAGGGGAGGGATTGGGGTCAGAATGGGGGCGCTGCAATTGTATGGGGAATATAACAATAAAATTTATTATCTAATAAAAAAAATAATAAATAAATAAATATTGTTGTACTTTGGGTAGGTCAGCAGACACAATTGCCAAGCCCTTTCCACAGGGGTGTGCCCAGATGGAGCACATCAGTGACTGTGACCTTATTATGTTCTCCTCTGTACTTGCTATTTCTCCCTATTTCCTTCAAGAGAATGACAGTGCCACCCATTGAACTTTCTCTCATTCCCCATGTTGAGTACTCAAAACTGTATGTCCCTTAAGCAGCCGGGATTTTTTTTTTTAAGATTTATTTATGTATTCATACAAGAAATAGGGTATTTCTTGTATTTCTTGTATGAATGGGATATTTCTTGTATGAATATGTGCCAGAGGTGAGAGCATTCACCAGAGACAAAGTGGGGAGCAGAACAGGCAGATGGACTGAAAAACATTGCTGAGAGGAGCAGCAGTTGAGATAGGAGAGGTCTGCCGCGCATGTGGGTCACCTCCCTGGCTGGGTATCGAATTCGTGCTGCAATGGCTGTGGATAGCTTCATAGCTTGCATCTTAACCCCTTGAACAACCAGGGATGCCCAGTATCCCTGAAATTTATCCATGTTTTTTTGGTCTCTATTAATCACAACTGTGATTAGATCATCATCTTTTGGCTGAATGAGCTACCATACAGATTGCCCAGTATGGCGATCCCGCCTCCATTCTCCTCACCCCTCAGACTGTTCTCTACACTACAGCCAAAGTGCTCTTCCTAAAATGCAAACCCACCTGAGTCATCCACTTTCCATAGGCTGCTCGCTGTCCTTAGAAGTGTTTGTTTAGTAGCCTAAGCCCTAATTATTCCTCCTACCTAATCCCTCGGTAGCCAGTGCTTTCTACTTGGTGTTTTGGCAAATTAATTTCTTTTTATATTTTCAAGAACCATGTTCTCCTTGTCAGCAGGACCTTGCACAGGCCATTCCTTCTGCCTGGAGCCCTCTTCAGTCTCCCATCCCCCATCAACCTCAGCACATACTCATACACACTTTTCTCTGGGCAACTTCTACTCATCCTCTGTGTTCCAGCTTTTGAGTCCCTTTCTCCTTGGTCAGCGTTAAATGTTCCTATTACATGTTCTTATAACGTTCAATGCATCTGTTATGGTAGACTCTATAGTAGTAGTATTCTGTGTTCCCCAGAATGAGACATTGGAAAGAAAAACGTCAAATCCAGGCCATTGACTTTCCTGATTTTGTTTTTGTTACTTTCTCCAGGTGTCAGTGGTGAAGAGAAGAACATGAATGCTGCTTTCACTCACATGCTATGACAGGCACAAACAGGAGCATTGTGACTCATGGCTTGTGCAGGATTGCTTATGGCCAAGTGTAACAGGTCTGTGTGCTGGATTTCAGGTCCTACTAGTGAAAAGAGTCATATGGCATGCTTCTCTCACCCCACCCCCACCTGTGTTGGCCTGCACTGAGCAGAAGTTCCAAAACAACACTCCACCTTCCAGCTATCTCTTTGCCTTTGTCAATGAGCACAGGCCCTTCAGTTTACATGCAAGGAGAAGTGCCTTTCACTGTTTAGCTGTTTTGATGAAGCATTGGGAACTTGGGAGAGAGAAGGTCCTTAGAGGAGAACGCTTGTGTGCCCTTTGGCACCGTGGGTGGGATTTCAGTCCTAAGATGAGAAGGGTCACAAGCTGGAGCAGACAGTTTAAACTTTTTAGCTTAACACAAGCAACATTATCTCCAGGGCCCATGGGACAGTGTAGCCCAGACTTGGAATAGGACCTGTTACTGTTATTCTCCTTTTGACCCCAGACCTATTATAACTCACACACCATCACTTCCTACCAAGCAATTCATTTTACAGCAAAAGAAATGTGGCAGTGGGCTCACGTTTGCCCTTGGACCTCACTGGTTTCATCACCTTACCTATTGGGCAAGGCAGTCAAAAGAATATACCTCCAAACTGACCCTGAAGCTGGAACTAGGCTCCATAAGGCTGCTTAGCCACCTCCCCTGGCATGTGAGTTCCCAGAAGCTGCTCCAAGGCTTCTGCCTTGAGAGTGTTAGCATGGAACCAAGGGGCACCTAGGGACCCCATACTATCAAGTTCTGCCTGCTCTGAAATGCATCAGACCATCTACACACAAAAAAGATAAAAGAAAAGAAACATACTCTTGGTGTGAAAGATCTTTAATAGAATTAGTGTGCATAGAGATGAGAGGAATGGGTATTCCCATTAATAGTTTCCCAGTAAAATGAAAACTCTTAGTTTTCCCGATGTAAGAATGCATTTCTTTCACCTTCACTCCTGAGGGATATTTCTACCAGCTCCACAGTTTTGAATTGATAGCTCTTTACTTTTAGCACTTGAAGATTTTCTTACTTCTTTCTGGCCTCCATGTTTTCTGATAAGAAAATCATAGTCATGAGAATCATTGTTTCTCTAAGAACAATGAACATTTTCCTCTGGTTGCTTTCAAGATTGTTCTTTGTCTTCATGAGAATTATTGTTTCTCTAAGAACAATGAACATTTTCCTCTGGTTGCTTTCAAGATTGTTCTTTGTCTTTAGTTTTTTATGTGTATAAATACATATATATATATATATATATATATATATATATATATATATTCGTCATACTGTGGGAATGGATATTCTTGGGATTATCCCATTCAGGATTTGCTCATTTTCTTAAATTTGTAGATATATATCTTATGCCAAATTTCTTAATATTTAACCATTTTTTAGGAATGATTTTTCAGCATCACTCTCCTCTCCTTTTAGGATTTTTATGAAATGAATGTTAGGCTTTTTCCCTAATATCCCAAAGTTTCCTGAGATTTATGTTCTTTTTCTCTCCCTATCTTTTCTCTCTGTTGTTTGAACTGGATAATTTCTAGTGATCTGTCATCACATTTTCTGGATCGTTCCACTGATATCCCTGTGTTTGCTATTAAGTTCATCCAGTGAGTTTATTAGTGAGGTTATTTTTAATTTCAGTTACACGGTTTTTCAGTTTTTTTTTAAATTTTTATCTGCTTTTAATATTACTTTCTCTAAGATATTTTTTTCATTTGTTTCTTGAGCCTTTGTAATTGCTTCCTGGAGCATTTTAAAATAGCTATTTTAAGTCTTTGCAAATAATTTCAAATTCTGTGTCACTGCGGCATAGAAATTTACATGTAGTCTTTCTAGGTTGCAACTTTCCTGATTCCTCAGAAGCTGAGTAATTTGGATTATATTCTGGACATCTTCAATGATGTCATTGAGTCTTGCTTTAAACTGGCAAGAAATATTGACACATAGTTTTAGCATGAAGCATACCTGACTAGATTCAAAAAAAAGAGTTCCAACCCTCCTTCAGCCAGCAGTAGCCCCAATATTTGGTTTTCAGAGCCTTAGCAGGGCTATTGGACCTCTCTCCAGTGTCTGTGATGCCCAGTGCCTCTTCTCATATGCTGAATAGGATCAGATTGAATCACATGAGCTGGGGGGCCAACCCAGGAGCTCATAAACAACTGTAAGAGTCATTTTCCCAAGAACTTCCCTCTTAGTGATCTGCCCAATATTCACTTAGTCACTGTAGATCCTCTTCTCATTCCTCAGCGAGAGAACAAAGACCGTAGTTAACTCTGGTTTTGGAAAGTTTCACAATAAGCCCAAGTCCAATGTCAAATGGTGGAGAACTGAGAGAAAGAAAAGCATTTTGGCCTCCACATCTTGAAACCAGAATTCCACTAAACAGAAAGGAAAGATCTCCGAAAGCATTTTGCATCCTCTGTACCAACTACTTTTGCTGACACTGAATTCTTGGAGGCTGAGGCACAGTACAAGAAAGAAAAAGGGAAATGGTGCCAGATTTCCACATTCCCTGAGTATAGAAGTTGTTTTTCCATCCCCAAGCTACCACCACAGGACTTCCCAGGAGCTCACTCTTCTACTTGAAAAAGATTTGTTGGCCAGTAGATTTTGAGATTTGTAATGCATGACCCACTAGTTTCTCACTAGATCTATTGAATAATAAAGAATAATCTACTCTGTCGTAGCTCAAATTTAAGAAGAATGTCTTTCTTTAGTGAATTTAAAACATAATCATTTATTGTATGAAATGCCACAGTCCTTTGTACATATGGAGGATATTGCCAGGGCTTGTTTCACATCTTTTTTTTTTAAAGATTTATTTATTTATTTATACAAGAGCTGGAGTACAGGTCAGAAGCACAGGAGTTTGAGAGAATTCACCAGAGCCAGAGCAGGGAGCAGAACAGGCAGACAGACTGAAGACACTGCTGAAGGGAGCAGCGGGTGAGACAGGAGAGGTCTGCTGTGCCATGTGGGGTTCTCCCTGGGCAGTGGGGAATCGAACCGGGCTACAGATGCTGCATACAGCTTTGCAGCTCGGTGCTCAATCACTGTGCCACCAAGGGAGGCCCTGGGTCCTATTTTCTTCCTCTTTGACTATATTTTGCAATACCCAGTCTCAATCACATAGTACTTCTGTATTACTCTGTTTCAAATCACCTCCATTTAACACTAAATACTCAACAAATTGGCAGAACAACAAAAACGTAAAATCACATTAGCGAAAGTTTCCTGCATATGTTTCCATGTACTGAATTGCCTCTGTTACCTTTTGACATTCTCATCTGGGCCACGTCTCCTGACATACACATTCACTGGAAGCTCAGCACCAGCCTTCTCGCTGGCTTCACCCACAGGATCTGGTGAAGACTGTGAATCAGTTTTTCTTTCCTTTGCTACCTTCCTCTTCCAGCCAGGAACCGTACTTTAGAAAAGGAAACAATGGAAGTGGATATTTGTCAAGAAATCTACTCATAAAGACTAATAAATCAACTTTTGTAAAATTCTAATATTTATCCATCTTCATTCATTGATTACATCTTAAAACCATGATGAGGTAACAATGATAAGCAAGGAAACACATCCATGTTTCAAAATTACATATGCAATCACGATGTCCAAGAGAGTTTAGAGCACCATCTGTGAGATAAGAGGAATCAAAAACCCAGTCAATCACCAGGCAAGGAGCTGGAAGGAAAACCATTCCTCATAAAGATTACAATTTGAGCACAAATATTAGGCAAATCACACCTATATGTTTCAGTAACTTGAAACGGAAGATACAAATTACTTACAGTCGAGTGGAAACAGCTTGAGTGTTAATCATAAAAGTCTAAGTTCTCTGTCTTAAAATATTGATTCTGAGACACAGAAATACTACTTAGATGTGTACTTTGATACTGGCTTTGCTTTTTTAAAAAGGTAATAATGTGCAACCATTTGAAGAATAGAATGAGGCACAAATGTATATAGTGAAAGAAATCCAAGAAATATACCAGGGGTGAGAGAGATTTACTTTTCAAATACCCATATCTTGGAATGATATCAGGGTCATGACCAAATAAGTTTTACCTCATCAGGTCCCCCTACCAACAATCCAATTTGGCATCACCAATAGACTTAAATAAAATAAAATTAAAAAAAGGACATTTTGAGATCCGTGGATTCCAGTGTCATACACCAAGGGATCAGAGGTGCCCCAGATGCAGGTGCAGTGAGAACATTTCTGGAATTAAGGAAAAATATCTGCAGAGTAAATAAAAATTTTTGGATCATTAGCATATACAAGGAAGTAAAAGTCATGAGACAGAAATCAAGGACTGAATCCCGGGATTCTTATTTTTGTACAAATGGAGGGTGTGGTTGGAGAGGTACAGGAAACAGACAAGTGAAAAAACAAGAAAAACATGGGAGATGCTCTGTAAGTAAGTTTTCCCTCTGATGATACCAGTTGTAAGAGTCAAATGAGAAAATTATGTCACAGGAGAGATTATTCTGGATGCAAATGTAGTTCATGAGTCTAATAACAAATGTGTGGATACTGTAAAGTGTAAAATCAGTGGTAACCTTAAGATTCATTTTGGAAGCTATGTGACTGGGAAGTTATGGGTGCAAGTTCAAGAGTGAAAATAAGAACTGTAGGATGGACAGTTCTGTAGGCCTAGGCTAAGTGGCATGACCATGCAGTATCCCATCTTCTCCTCCTTTTACTATATTTTGTAATATCCAATCACAATTATTTAGTTTTTATTACTCTGTTTCAAATCACCTCCATGTGACACTCAATAGTCAACAAATTGGCAGATCAAAAAATACATACAATCATATCAACAGAAAGTTTCCCGAACATGTTTCTGTTTATTGAATGGATTCCATTGACTGAATTTGGAATAGAAAGGTGTGAATAGAAATTAGTGTATTTCTTGCCCCCTACAGCTCCTCCACAAAATCATCAAGGAATGGAATTGCAACTCTGCAACAGAATATATCCAGGCAATATGACTGGAGAATCAAGGCTAATGGAAGGGGAGAAGTGAGAGAACGAGAACACAAAAAGGAAAGGCCCCAAGGTCTACGAAAAGCTCTGCGGGTGCTTTGCTGCTTGGTATTATGTGGCAAAACACATCTGATGAGGAGTGACTCTATCCCGGGAATCATACACAGGCATATAATTTGTGTGGCATCAATAAAGGGACAAACAAAAGCACTGGTCCTTTCAACAGTGCTTGTCTGCTAAGGCCAGAATTCTCTTACCTCGCCTAGTAACACTATATTATACTGTTTCATTTCCGAAAAAAACACTGCCATTATTACTTAACCTGAAGGGAAGAATGTGGCAGCCTTTGCCGCTGAACGCCAGTGAACTTACTGGAAAGAGGGAGGCTTTCACTCAGACACATCCGAGTGAGTAAGAACCCCTTCCCCTGTGTGCTGGACTGGACAGTCAATGACGGGTAAGATCGGGGGCAGACTAAAGAAGGCACTGGCCAGCCTCATGTCTGTGACTCCTGACGAACTAAGACAGGCACAGTCCCCGAGGGGCTTCATCATGAAAATCTTTGGCGTTCAATTCAGGCAAATGTCTAAATGGCTGTAAGCCCAATCTAGGCAATAAGTCCGCAGTAAAAATCCCCTCCTTTGCTTGAAAACAAGGCTACCAAGAGCATTGCCTACAAACAAGCCTGATGGAATTACCTACAAAGCAGTTTAACCATTAACCAGTTAGTCATTGTTTCTGAATAAGTAGTAACTTAGCAACTTGTCTATAATTATACTATTTTCTTACCTACCTGACTTTTTCTATATATGTAAAAATCAGTTTCAGGAAATGTATTGTAACCACATATGTTTAGCAACTTGTAAACTATTAGCTAGAAAATTGCGTTCTATGCCTAGGTAACAAAAAACATTGTTATGCTGGGAAAATAGATTTTGTGTGACCTAATGCTTTTTGAAAATGTATAAATATGCATAATGATTTAAACAAATTACATTCAGATCTTCACTCTTAAAGTGAGTCTGTCTGTCATTTATGCGCCGAATCCTTGACCATCCTGCACGAGTTTCACATCTCTGGGATGGCATTGCCAGTCTGATGAAGACTGTGAATCACTTTTTCTTTCCTTTACTACCTCCTTCAAGCCAGGAACAATACTTTTGGGAATCTCAACTGGGTCATGACTCCTGCTATCCACATTCACTGGAAGGGCAGGACCACTCTTCTTGTTTATTTGGCCAACCAATTTTGATGAAGGTGATAAATCATTGTTTGGCTTTTTTGCTCACTTCTTCAGGAAACCAGGACCCCTACTTCTGACAATCTCATCTTGGTCCCATCTTTTGACGTCTGCAGTCACTGGAAATGCAGCACCCGTCTTCTTGTTGGCTTCACCCACAGGATCTGATGAAGACTGTGAATCAGTTTTTCTTTCCCTTACTATCTCCTTCAAGCCAGGAAAAATACTTTTGGGAATCTCAACTGGATCATGACTCCTGCTATCCACATTCACTGGAAGGGCAGGACCACTCTTCTTGTTTATTTGGACAACCGATTTTGATGAAGGTCACAAATCATTGTTTGGCTTTTTGGCTCACTTCTTCAGGAAACCAGGACCCCTCCTTCTGACAATCTCATCTTGGTCGCATCTTTTGACTTCTGCATTCACTGGAAAAGCAGCACCCGCCTGCTTGTTGGCTTCACCCACAGGATCTGATGAAGACTGTGAATCCGTTTTATTTCCCTTACTACCTCCTTCAAGCCAGAAACAACTTTTGGAAATCTCAACTGGGTCATGACTCCTGCTGTCCACATTCACTGGAAGAGCAGGACCACTCTTCTTGTTTATTTGGCCAACCGATTTTGATGAAGGTGATAAAACATTGTTTGGCTTTTTTAATCACTTATTCAGGAAACCAGGACCACTCCTTCTGACAATCTCATCTTGGTCGCATCTTTTGACATCGGCATTCCCTGGAAACGCAGCAACCGCCTTCCTGTTGGCTGCACCCACAGGATCTGATGAAGACTGTGAATCAGTTTTTCTTTCCCTTACTACCTCCATCAAGCCAGGAACAATACTTTTGGGAATATAAACTGGGTCTTGACTCCTGCTGTCCACATTCACTGGAAAGGCAGGACCACACTTCTTGTATATTTGGCCAACAGATTTTGATGAAGGTGATAAATCATTGTTTGGCTTTTTTGCTCACTTCTTCAGGAAACCAGGACCCCTCCTTCTGACAATCTCATCTGGGTCGCATCTTTGGACGTCTGCATTCACTGGAAATGCAGCACCCGCCTGCTTGTTGGCTTCACCCACAGGATCTGATGAAAACTGTGAATCAGTTTTTCTTTCCCTTACGACCTCCTTCATGCCAGGAACAATACTTTTGGGAATCTCAACTGGGTCATGACTCCTTCTATCCACATTCACTGAAAGGGCAGGACTACTCTTCTTGTTTATTTGGCCAACCGATTTTGATGAAGGTGGTAAATCATTCTTTGGCTTTTTTGCTCACTTCTTCAAGAAACCAGCACCCCAACTTCTGACAATCTCATCATGGTCGCATCTTTTGACGTCTGCATTCACTGGAAATGCAGCACCCGCCTCCTTGTTGGCTTCACCCGCAGGATCTGATGAAGACTGTGAATCCGTTTTTCTTTCCCTTACTACCT